CTTTTGCACAGACAATATGACAGCTAAAGCACTATTTCCAACACTTTATGATGAGAAGACAAAAGTGTGGAGCGGATTGCCCTTGCGTAAGCTGTACGATGCCAACTGCTCGGTGGGCGAAAGGATATACAATTCCGTCAAGAGCTATCCCACAAATGTCGTCCAAGTGAGTGCTGATGGATGAGCTCACAAAGAAATTCAGCTAATGCAACTATTCCTCCATAGATCTCGAATATGGACGAACGTGTGGTGACCTTTGGAGAGGTGCACGTCTGGGCCGCACGCCTGGCTTTGTACCTGAAGAGTGAGGGACTTACCCATAAGGATGTCGTCGGCATTATTGGCAATGCCAGCACCTTCACCAGCTCCCTTGTTGTGGGCTGCCTGTTCAACGCGACTCCCTTCCATGCCGTGGCCTACACCTACATGAAGGAGCCCCAAGTCATTCAAGATCTATATGAGACAACAAAGCCAAAGATTATGTTCTGCGATGGTAAAGACTATGAGATCATGAAGGAAGTAACGAAGGCCTGGAATCCCAAGTACGTTACGCTAACTGGACGCGTCGAAGGCGTACCATATATTGAAGATCTGCTGAAGCCACATCCCATGGAGCGCTTCTACCAGTAAGTTGGGCAATTCAAACAAACCGCTGGATGGCTTACCTTTGTTTTTCTGCTTCTCAGACCATTGCCTTTGGCCACTGACGGTAATCAAATAGCGGCCATTCTCTGCTCATCGGGCACATCGGGCAAGCCGAAATCTGTGGCCATCTCGCATAGACAGCTCAACAAAGTAGAGGCGTAAGTATAAAAATCGTTTGCAAATGATAGCTGAGAGCTATAAATTTACATCAAATTCATTTCAGAATCGGAAACTGCACAGATGTGATCCTAACTAGTGCTACTCTAGACTGGATGACGGGTCTCATGCTAATGATGCTGTGCTTCTTTTATGGCAGTAGTCAAGTCATATTCAATGAACCATTCAATGGCGACAGCTTCATCCGCATGATCGAAAAGTACAAGGTCACCCTGATTGTGATGGCACCCTGGCAGGGCTTTGAGGTCTACACAAGTCCATTGGCTACTGAGCAGAGCTTGTCTAGTGTACGCATGAGTATCGTTGTTGGTGGCTGGCTGTCGATGAAAATACTGCAGAGGGGGCAAGAGCTCATGAAGAATGCCCATATCGTGTTCGCGTATGGAGCGACTGAGACGGGCACAATAGCCCTTAACATTGACCAGAGCCTGGCAAGTTCTGTTGGCAAACTGCCACCAGGAGTTCGGATTAAGATCATTGACGATGAGGGTAATTCGCTGGGGCCTAACCAGGTCGGCCAAATTCTTATTGACATTGGCGTCACATGGCAGGGCTATGTGGCCAATCCTGAGGATACGGCCTCCACCTTTCGGGATGGCTGGATTGATCTGGGTGATCTCGGCTACTTTGACGATGACAACAATCTGTTTTTGGTAGATCGCAAGAAGGATGTGCTCAAATACAAATCAAAGGACTTCTGGCCCAACGAAATTGAGCAAATTATTACGGAGCTGCCAGATGTGGAAAATGTTTGCGTTGTCGGCGTGAGGAACACGAACTATACCGATGCAGCTGGTGCACTGGTAATCAAAAAACCCGGAGCCGAAATCTCCAAGGAGAAGATCATCGAGCAYGTGGCAAAGCGCGTTGTTGTCGAATACAAGCAGCTGAACGCTGGCGTCCAGTTTGTCGACAGTTTGCCCATGAACAACAATGGTAAGGTGGTCAGAAACTTGGCCAGGAAACAGTTTGAGTCGCTCATGGATGTTCAGGAATCATAGTTTCATTTGTCTTACAACCATTGTTCTTTATAGATTTTAAGAATTTCGATATTATGGTGATTTCTGTTAAGCTAACTTAACATTATTAAATAAACTGAAAAATATTGTAGACAATAATATTATTTTTTCTAATTTGCTAATTTCTAATTTGCACAGAATTCAGCTGCTTGAATTTCAAGAAACATATACAAATCAGAAACAATTTACTATTTCATAGTTGACGATAAACATTTAACAGTCAACACCGACTGATAGATAATGTACTTTAATGCTGATAAAGAGCTAATAATAGTATGAGCAAAATAAAAACAATCAATATTGAATGAATAATTATTGATATAAACTTAAAAGGATTTGCTTTTTGTTAGTTGTTATATAATATTAAAGAAATGATAGGTCAAAATGGCTGATCCAACCAACTTTTTCATTAAATTTTAATCGGCAATTCCTTGGCTGGGGCTTGTTAAATAAAGCCACTAATAAAGCTAAACAGATATAAGTTTTATCGATAAAAGTTTAAGTATCGACATAAGTTTCATTTAATCATATATAAAATATATCTTATGTGTATATAATAATATATTACAGAATACGAAATACCCATAAAGAAGTTTAGAGCTTTGAATCTCTGAATTTTGAAGAAGCATACTCAACTTTTGATTAATATTATATAGCTTGAAAATTTCTTAAGAATTACTGAGTGCATATACAGTTGTTGGACTTGGATATTGCTTTATTTAAATTTAATGATGAATTTACATATATTTAATATGTCTAAATACATTTAGTCTGCACATCACATGTCCAATACAATAAACCCATTGTAAGAGTATGTAACCATTATCTACAGAGACTATAGACTATATACCCGATGAAAAAGCAAAAANACCCCCCACCCTTAAATTCACCCCCTCACCCTCACTTTTGTAAAAAGCGTATTTCAAATACTAGAGATATATCCATGTTATAATCATAGTCTGAAAGTTTCATGAAGATCGTACGTCCACAAAAAAGTTATAAAGCAATTAAGTTCTCATAGTAAGCGCTCACTGCCGCCCATGCGTGTTTATGCTTGTGTGTGTGTGTGTGTGTGTGTGTGTGTGTGTGTGTGTGTGCGTGTTTCTTGTGTAAACTGAAAGACGCGAAAAATTATTGAAATAGCTAACACTCCAAGGGTTCAGGGGATCTCGTAGTCGAGCAGTCTCGACTAGAGCTTTCTTACTTGTTATGAATGAATTTATTTTTAATCTAATCAGTGAGCGCGTGGCTGGCGCATTGAAACCATTGAATTAAAAATATAATGAAATCAGTTAAAGCTACATATAGGAAGTGCTAGACTAGGATATACTGTGACTGAGGTAGTACAAACTTCTGTTTATGTTAGCCACCTTACTCCCTCTGCCCTCCCTCTTTCCAAAGGATGATTTATTTACAATATCCTGCACTGAAAAGTTTTCTTATGCATTATATTATATTTTAAAGCTGAAGATAGATTCATGCCATGCCAAAAATGCTTAGTTTACATTCTCGCATCTGCGATATGTGTGTGTAAATTCATAACCACATCAATGATAAACATTAACTATCATGTCAGTGCCGAAGAAAGTTTGGCTTTTAGCTGTAAGATGATATGGATATCTGTTGACCCCCGACCTCATCACGTCTTGTGCATGTCACCCCAGGGTCATAGTCGAATATGAGAAACCAGCCCCACCATTAACACTTTAAGTGCAAGCCTCTTGGGTCTACTTGGCAGGCTGAGCTAACTCTGCCCAATCCAGCGATCCATGGCAAAGTAAACAGGACGAGGCCACTCAGGCGCACTCGGGTTGTTGGCCAGACAATTTTACCTACTTTATGTTTATTTATTTGCATATTTTTCAACTTAAAGACGACAATGAGGGTAAAATAGAAGCAGCACTAGAGCCAGGACTATTGTGCCGCACACAAAAGCCATGCCATCCAGGACAATGGCAATAGTCGAAGCAAAGACAGAAGCAGGAGTCGCAACTGAAGCCGCAGCCAGCCGGCGTGCATTGTGCCGCTATTTTATAATTGACAATAATACATAAAAGATATGTATAGAAAAAAGCAGAAAGCACAATAATGGTAAGTAATACATTAGCCAGACATAAGCCCAACCAAACCACCCAGCGCCCACCCCTCTGGCACGCCAAAGACAATCCCAGGGGCTGCCCACGATGGCCTCTGACAATGCATTTGTGCCCGTGAAAAAAGGTCACGTCTTATCTATTTACCTAAACAATTTGCTTAAAATGTTTACAACATAAGCAACATCATCATCAGCATCGGGCAACTAACAACGCGGAGCTGGGAGCTAGGAGCTGGGAGCATTGGAGCTGGAACGGGCGCGTGTCAGGTTATCGTGTGCATGTGGCCAGGTTTGGGTTCAGGTTCAGGCCGGGCAGCTAGTGCCATCTATTTACCTTAAGTAGTCATACGGCCGATGCTGTTTTTTTTATTTTCTTCTTCTCATTTTTTTGGTCTGTTCTCTTTTGTAGATGCTTCAGCATGGCACGAGTGTGGGAGGCGGACAAAATGCTCGACCAACATTAGAGCGCAATAGCCAGGGGAATTGTTTTATAAGCTATGAATAACAGGACGAAAAAAAGCTAAACGACAGACACAGGAAAGCGAAAAAAAACCAAAGAATCTAACGATGCGAATATCGAATACTCTTTCAAATTTGGAAAGTCCTCTAGATCTAGACGACAGCGCATATCATATATCGATATCGATATCGATCGTTTATAGTATATAGTATATCGTATGTTGTATATCAAATATCGTATATCACATATCATATATCCATATCGTATATCGTATGTCGTACATCGAAAATCGTACGTATTAAATCTGTCGCACATCGTATATGACTTATACCGTATATATATATATATTTCACATTTTTTATATCGTATAGGTTAGTTTGTATAACAAACAAAATAGGCATCAACTATTATATGAGTTATGTACCTTAGTAAAGTCATCATTCTATAAAACTCAACTAGACAAATACGATATTGTATATCGTATATCGTAGAGTCAAACGCTATAAGGTTGCCAATGGATCTCAAGATGAGTTTCAATTCAAAAGCAACTGAGACAGCAAAGCGAAATATGGAATGGAGTACATCTAGTACACTCTGCGGCTTGTGGCTGGCCCCAAACTGAACTGAGCGCGACTGTTGCCGCTCGTATTCCATTTTAAGGCTCGCCCAACTTTGAAGTTTTTTGTGCGAATGTGCGTCACTGTTAAAAGGTCGCAAACTGTGGCTCGGCAACTCCTCACATTTATTCTGCCCTTTTTTCCAGCATTTCCGAGTTACTTTGCTTTTCCTTTACGCAATCTCCAGAGCTGCGGCACACGCTGCCTCTGCCTTGAAGGGCTTAAGCAGGGCTCTGACTTGATTATTGGTTCGTCGCATCAGTCTTTCCAATCAACATCATCTATCAGCATTAAACTGAAAGGCAAGGCACATAGTCCACGACCACCACTGCAAATGTTCGTGAGACAGAGGCAAGCAACTTCCTGCCTTCCGTTTTGGCCATCCCAAAAACAACAAACGTAATGCCAGTAATATATTTGTTGGCAATTTCTAATCACAGTCGGCAGCACGCGTCTGCCTTTAAGATAAACAAATGCTGTTGAAATTTTTCATTGTGTTAATTATATAAATATAGGCAAACTTTTTATGGCCAACAGTCGGCAGCTATCAACAAACAACCCTCTGTTCCGGAAAGAACACAATGTCTGTAATTGAAGCCTGTTTGTGCGGGGGGTGCGGCGGGTACGGCGCGTGTGGTGGGGGCTTGTAGTCCCCCATGTAACATTTTATGAGCTACGGCCCTGGCACAAAAGTAACTTATCTTGTTACTACGTCAAAATCCCGTTCAGTGTCAACAACATAATGTGAATGTCCTAATGCAAGGCTCTTATAAAGCAAATGGATCAGACGGCGCAGCCCTCAAAGCTAATCAAATAGGCTGGCTAAATTAAAGCCAAGTAAACAATATTTGAGAAATTCAGATAAGACTTTGATGCGCAATTCGTAACAAAAGATTATAGAATTTGTCCGCTTTTATTATTAGGGGCAAGCAGAAAGAGAGAGTTAAAATTCAACTTAATTCTAGTTAGATAAATATACCATTTAATTGCAACTACTATTGACTTTCATTTTTAGTTACACAACAAGTGAAGTTTTCTTATCTATAAATTCACTAACTAACCACCATCGTCTGCTTCCAAGGCAATTCTCCACTCACTGCGCTCGTTCTTGCGGCTTTGCGGAACCCCAACGAATCGTATAGTATATAAATTGTATAGGGACTGAGCTCCCTTCTGCCCTTGACCTTCACAGTTTGTTTCGCTTGCAGACTGAATATAGACAGAACTGACGAGCTTGGAAGTTTGCAGCCAACACAATAGCCAACGAGACGCATTGTAGCGCATAATTAGTTCGCTGAATGAAAGCCAGAACCAGAAAGAGCACAAAATTCATGTGCAAAAAAATTAAAAACGAAAAAAAAAATAAACGAAATTGAAAGCAGAATGACAAAAAAAAAAAAAAAGCCAAACTTCTCTTTGCCGCAGCAACGGTGGCTGCCAGAAAAAAAAAGAGAAAGAGAGAAGCAAATAACGGGGCGGACGGAAAGTCGGCTGCCAGCGGCGCTGAATTTTCAACAATTTTCTTGTTTTGCCTAATTGAAGATTTGCACTCGAAATGATTTTAGCGCTGCGATAATGCCTGCCCCCACCAAGCCGCCCAACAGACAGCTAAGTGGTGCTAAAAGGGGATGGGGAGGGGCTCAACGAAGCACCTAAACAAACTTTCAAAGCCGAGGCAGTCACTCACTTAAATGACGAGCGCGAAAATTAATGCATGAAATTCCATCAGTGACAGCAATAAAAAGTGTAAAATTGATTTGCATAATGAAAATTTGTTGAAATTGCCGCCATTTTGAAGCTGCCGGTCGAT